AAACAGCCCCAAAGCATGATGTTTCCACCCCCATGCTTCACAGTAGGTATGGTGTTCTTTGGATGCAACTCAGCATTCTTTGTCCTCCAAACACGACGAGTTTAGTTTTTACCCAAAAAAATTTTGGGATTTCATCTGACCATATGACATTCTCCCAATCCTCTTCTGGATCATCCAAATGCACTCTAGCAAACTTCAGACGGGCCTACAGGGGGACACGGGGGACACGTCTGGCACTGCAGGATTTGAGTCCCTGGTGGCGTAGTGTGTAACTGATGGTAGGCTTTGTTACTTTGGTCCCAGCTCTCTGCAGGTCATTCACTAGGTCCCCCCATGTGGTTCTGGGATTGTTGCTCACCGTTCTTGTGATCATTTTGACCCCACGGGGTGAGATCTTGCGTGGAGCCCCAGATTGAGGGAGATTATCAATGGTCTTGTATGTCTTCCATTTCCTAATAATTGCTCCCACAGTTGATTTCTTCAAACCAAGCTGCTTACCTATTGCAGATTCAGTCTTCCCAGCCTGGTGCAGGTCTACAATTTCGTTTCTGGTGTCCTTTGACAGCTCTTTGGTCTTGGCCATAGTGGAGTTTGGAGTGTGACTGTTTGAGGTTGTGGACAGGTGTCTTTTATACTGATAACAAGTTCAAACAGGTGCCATTAATACAGGTAACGAGTGGAGGACAGAGGAGCCTCTTAAAGAAGAAGTTACAGGTCTGTGAGAGCCAGAAATCTTGCTTGTTTGTAGGTGACCAAATACTTATTTTCCACCATAATTTGCAAATAAATTCATTAAAAATCCTACAATGTGATTTTCTGGATTTTATTTTCTCAATTTGTCTGTCATAGTTGACGTGTACCTATGATGAAAATTACAGGCCTCTCTCATCTTTTTAAGTGGGAGAACTTGCACAATTGGTGGCTGACTAAATACTTTTTTCCCCCACTGTATACTCCCCCAAATGCTGGAAAGATTTACTAAAATCACAGCTAAGCTCCTTTTGTGAAAAAAATTTAATAAATAACTTTAACCAGATTATTGTATTCACTATGTTGAGGTGCACCAGTAACACTTGTTGCAGTGGCATTCCTTTGTCACAAAGATTGTGCAAATGGTCGTACCATGGATGACACATTTAGTTATAGTCTATTTATTGAAGCTGAACCACTTCCCGATGCCCTAAACCTCAACTAAATCTTGTAATGAATAATATGGAAATTGAGCAAGTTGAGGAGACTAAACTGCTTGGTGTAACCCTGGATTGTAAACTGTCATGGTCAAAACATATTGATGCAACAGTAGCTAAGATGGGGCGAGGTCTGTCCGTAATAATGTGTTACACTGCTTTCTTTACGATGCTATCAACAACAAAAAAACATCCTACAGGCCCTAGTTTTGTCGCACCTGGACTACACATGAGGTTGCTGGGGAAGACTCATAATAATGGCCAGAATGGAGCGAATAGAATGGCATCTGATGTATTTGATCCCATTCCACACATATTCCGCTCCAGACATTACAACGAGCCGGTCCTCACAATTAAGATGCCACCAACCTGTGCTGGACTACTGCCCAGTCATATGGTCAAGTGCCAGAAAGAGGGACATAGGCTAATTATACATTTACATTTTAGTCATTTAGCAGACGCTCTTATCCAGAGCGGCTTACAGTTAGTGAATGCATACATTTTTATTTTATTTATTTTTTCATACTGCCCCCCCCCCCGTGGGAAACTAACCCACATCCCTGCCGGCCAAACCCTCCCCTACCTTTGACGACGCTAGACCAATTGTGCGCCGCCCATGGGTCTCCCGGTCGCGGCCGGCTGCAACAGAGCCTGGACTCGAACCAGGATCTCTAGTGGCACAGCTAGCACTGCGATGCAGTGCCTTAGACCACTGCGCCACTCGGGAGTCAGATAATTATAGTTGGCTCAGAACAGAGCAGCATGGCTGGCCCTTAAATGTACACAGAGCGCTAACATCAATGACATGCATGTCAATATCTCATGGCTCAAAGTAGAGGAGAGATTGACTTCATCACTACTTGTCTTTGTGAGAGGTATTGACATGTTCAACGCACCAAGCTTTCTGTTCAAACGACTAGCACACAGCTCAGACACTCATGCATACCCCACAAGACATGCCACCAAAGGCCTCTTCACAGTCCCCAAGTCCAGAACAGACTCCGGGAAATGCACAGTAGTACACAGCGCCATGAATACATGGAACCTTATTCCACATCAAGTAACTCATGCAAGCAGTAAAATCAGATTTAAAAAACAGATAAAACTAGAGACACACAGGCACACGCACTCTACACACACGTACATTGTAATGTTGTTGTATGGTGGTATTATACATTTTGGGTTCTAGATATGTAGTGGTGTAATGATGTTATATGATGTACTGTTTTATTTATTTTTGTGTGATGTCCATTAATGTGTTTGGACCCCAGGAAGAGCAGCTAATGGGCATCCCTAATAAATTCAAAATTATCATATGAGAAAAGCAATTCCAACAAACATGAGGATATGATCATGTACCTGACATACTGAGGTTTTGCTTATCTTTTTTCGGTCAGGCATGTTTAGAAAAGAAACTGTGACGAGTCAAGAGTTGCTGCATGTTGTTATTGTACTGGTCATGTGGCTATTCACTTACAGTAGGCTAACTAATTGTATATTCTACATACTTGAAAATGCTGCTAAATGGTTTTCACTTATTGACCGTTACATTTTAGCTAATATTGCTCAGTAGCAAACTGAATGTGTGTGTAGCCAAAACTGTCACACCCTCTTTACCCAACTCCTTCTCAGTTGAATGTCTGACACAGCTTCCAAACACTGACTGAATATTATGATAATATATAATTTCCGTTTATTTTACAGGTTTTTTCTAGCATAATCGGATCCATTTTATTTTCTTAAATCTTAAGCTAACAAGGCCTGTGCTTTTTGCCTATTTCTTTAATAAAAGGTAGGCTTATGGTATACCGTCTCATACCCCCTCAATTCGAGTCTTGGTTTTAACTTAACAGCCCTTCACTGGCATGGAGATAGGCTATTTAAGAGTGCATGGTGGGTGGAGGAATTGACCGCCAAATCTATGGATATAGCAGCCCATAGCCTAATTTCGTCTGTCAAACAGGTAGACCTACCTCTTAAATAGGAAGAAATAGGATCAAACACAAGGCCCTCTTGTAGTTAGTAAAGCTAATGAAGACGGTTGAAATGAATTATGCCTACTCGAATTTGCCTATTTTCAGCACCATGAGCAGTCCATTTCCGATTGATTGTGCCTGGAATCTGGCTTATTGTGAGGTCAATTACTCTGATAAATACCTCATGAGCAAGAAACATATAGTTTTTAATAAAATCAACTATATAGTATCAAGCTATCAAAGTTGACCTCTGGTCCCCCTTCTCATCTTTGAGCTCTCCTTCTCAAACTGAACAGAACATAGGCTATAGGCTAGTCCGTAAGCATTTTTGGGACTAGGCTTAATAAATAAAAAATGTGGAAGAAGCCTTTGATTCTCCTCCTGAACGGCCACCGTAGGCCTACACAGCACAGCCATTGGTTAGGCAGCACACACCAAAACGTTTTTGATCAGAATGAGCAGAGCAGGCTGGGGCTCAGGGTTGGAATATCCATTGCAGTATGTAATGCAGCCTAGTTGTATTTACACCATCCCAGCAGCTATCTTAGAAATATAACTTTGCTCTGTGCTCCTCCTAGAATGCACTTAGTAGCCTATGGCCTACAGAGTACCACAACATGAGTCATAATGCCACTAAAACCTAGCAGTCAAACAAGGAAATGATTCCAGTTGTTTTACCACCATTCATTTTTCCCATAGGGGACTTTAGAAACACTTAACATAATGTCTGTGTTTCGTGTAGGCTTATCCTGGCGTGACGTTTTGATAACCGTGTAAATCTCTCTAGGACAAGGTGACTTTTATCAATATATTCACCTGTATTTTTTTATAAACTTAGCTGCTAATGTGGCTATCATAAAGAACTACAAATGCCATGATGATCTGGACGAGACTGCCGAACCGAGGCAAAGGTAAGAATCTCAGAATTAACTATCTAATGTTAGCTACATTTAGTCATGCATAAATTGGCTCAATTTCTTTAAATGGACAATTCTGTGAACTGTCTAGTGCAAGTTTTAAATTGACACAATACCTGTTAGCAACGGTGTCAGCTAGAGATGACATGCAGGAGCTTGCAGGGATTTGTAGTCTTGCATGATGTCTACTTTGATGCTTATTACCATTTTCGAATCTGAGAGTAAATAGAACCGAATATATTGATAAAATTCACCTTGTCCGAGAGTGATTTACATGGTTATCAAAACGTCATGCCTGGGCAAGCCTACACAAAATACAGCCCTGATTTTAAGTGTTTCTAAAATTCCCTATGGGAAAAATGAATGGTGGAAAAACGATTGGAACCATTTCCATGTTTGTCCGCTAGGTTTCATGGGTATTATGACATCTCCACTATAGGCTATGGATAATTTAATTGAGACCACACTATAGGCTGCACTTGATATTGTGTGGCCAACAGAGAAACAGAGATGAGAGGCGGCATCGGGCAAACATGGTTATATAGCCTAATAAACAACTAATTCTAAAACACTGAGAAATATCGAAATTTCATCAATTACAAATTACATGACCCTCCCCTGGACTAGATTTAAAAAAAATACTAAACCCTGCCTTTGACTGAAATTGAAAAAGCATGACCATCCCCCATTTTCCTCCATGTGCGAATCTACTGGTTACTATGGCACGTCAATAAATTCCCAATAATTAAATTCTTGATTTATGTTATACTGATGTAAAGCCTTGTCAATTTGGAATCACATCCCTTCTTTTTGTAATTTTGCTATTCTCCCCCATTTTGCCATAACTAAACCTCTGCATACTCGCACATGCGCGTTGGGCAATCTACCGGATCGCGAGGTAGGGTAGAGGAGCAGTCCTAATGGCGGAGAACGTACGGTCGCCTTTTGACTACCGGGAGCCACCAACCCTCGACAGCGACGGGGATGGGAGCAAGCCTCCGCCGCCCCGAGGGTGAGATAAATAGCTTAACGGGGAATACATTTTTGTTGTGTATCTGATCACTTGCTAACGTTACTTTGTTTGAAAGTGAAGTAGAACGCAAGCCCTGCATGAGCGTGTATTTGTTTAGTTCCAGGCTTCCATCCGCGTGATGATTCTGCTGACAAAAATGACACACAGCAAAAGTGCTTTTTCGTTTCGGGATCGCTAGCTAGTTTCGTAATTGTGCAAGCTTGCACAGTCTGTCACCCACTTCACTTAACGCCGATTAGCCCTATGATTTTGCTCTTTCATTTGGAAGCTGTAATGCACTGTCTTTTATTTAAATAACCAGCTAGCTAGCCATCTTAGCTTGTCTGGCCAGCTAACGCGTTAGTTACATCGGCAGAACAGTAACGTTAGTCTTAGATAACTGACTAGCTAACTAGATTTAATTGTATTTAGGATAGCCTTACATGATTCTGATAACTAACGTTAGCTAACTAGCGAGATGCATTATTCCTTGATGGCTTATTATTTGTGCATATTTAATAATTAAAACAACATCTGCATACCAGATGTTTTGGTAGCTAGCTAGATCATTTCTATTCAAACTGATGTTGGGGAAAAGCCCCAGTTACATTCAGGCATCACTTTCACTGTGTTGATGATCTGACTGACTTGTTGTCTACTGTATCAGAGAGAGCGAATGAGGGATGCAAATGTGTATCTCAGGTGTGTGTGGAGTGGGGCGCATTTATATAGGTCTGCTATTAGGGTTTGTCAAATATTTATTTAAAAAATGTAAATTATTTCACTATCTTAACATTGTTCCAAATATATATATTATAATTATAAAGCTATTATTTTCTGTCTTTGATATCAGATTATTTAGATCATTTATGGATTTGATTCAATTTGTTGATAGTATCCAATATAATATAATTTCAACATTTGTCTGTCACCCCAATTGTTAATGCCATATCTATTTCATTGCCCTTTTGAATATAACTTTAGAAACAATATTAGAATAACATTGCTGTGATTTAAATTATTCGATACGGTAGTGGCTGTAGGCCTACTTGGGGTTGTTTGATAGCAATAAATGGCCTATTCATAATGTGGCAGATGTAAATGCAAGTTACTTTACATGGCCAAATGTATGTGGACACTCCTTCAAAGTAGTGGATTCCTCTATTTCAGCCACACCCGTTGCTGACGTGTATAAAATCGAGCACACAGCCATTGTCAGTAGAATGGCCCGTACTGAGGAGCTCAGTGACTTTCAACGTGGCACCGTCACAGGATTCCATCTTTCCAACAAGTCAGTTCTTAACATTTATGCCCTGCTAGAACTGTAAGTGCTGTTATTGTGAAGTGGAAAATGTCTATGAGCAACAACGGCTCAGCCGCGAAGTGGTAGGCCACACAAGCTCACAGAACGGGACCGCTGAAGCGTGTAGCGCGTAAAAATCATCTGTCCTCGGTTGCAACACTCACTACCGCGTTCCAAACTGCCTCTGGAAGCAACGTCAGCGCAAGTACTGTTCGTCAGGAGCTTCATGAAATGGGTTTCCATGGCCGAGCAGCCACACACAAGCCTAAGATCACCATGCACATTGCCAAGCTTCGGCTGAAGTGGTGTAAAGCTTGCCACCATTGGACTCTGGAGCAGTGGAAACGCATTCTCTGGAGTGATAAATCACGCTTCACCATCTGGCAGTCCGACAGACGAATCTGGGTTTGGCGGATGCCAGGAGAGAACGCTACCTTTATCTAGAAATGTAATTCTTGTCATGCACAACAGAAATGTCTGCAGCCGACAGTATTTTTCAGTGACAACAAGTTTCTGGGGACATTATTCCATTACACACAGGTGTTCAGCGCATGCTACGTAGCTAATTAGCACAGGTGGTCCCTCTGTCTTCCATCTGTCTGCCGTAAACACGCGCTGTAACATGGAGATATGGCCATGTGGGAACACTAACCCTATAAAGGTGTGTATCAATGCAACTTTATTTATTATTATTTATTGCTGATATGAAAGATAAGGACCTTATGCTCCCAAAACCTGTACCGCAAGCGATGCGTGTTAATGTTCAGACTGAGCGTTTGGGCACTTAACAAAACTCCCCCTTGCAGAAGACTCCTTCGTCCAATGACTCTTATGTGTAATGGAACTGAAAGTCATGAACAAGGGCTAAAGGAACCCCTCATGTGTATTGTAGGCGGGTGTGTGGGAGAAAAAGGAAGGGTACGCCCGTGAAGGTGTGTGACCTGGCCTACGTGACTGAGGACGAAGAGGAGGAAAGTCTGTCTGAACACAGCTACAGTCCGGGTAAAAACACACACACACACACACACACACACACACACACACACACACACACACACACACACACACACACACACACACACACACACACAGACACCCTATCATGTGCCTTCAGAAAGTATTCACACCCCTTGACTTTTTCCAAATGTTGTTGTGTTATAGCCTGGATTTGTCACTGGCCTACACACAATACCCCATAATGTCAAAGAGGAATTATGTTTTTACAAACTCATAACAAAATGTAAAGCTGGAATGTCTTGAGTCAATAAGTATTCAACCCCTTTGTTATGGCAAACCTAAATACGTTCAGGAGTAAACATTTGCTTCACAAGTTGCATGGACTCACTCTGTGTGCAACAATAGTGTTTAACATGATTGTTGAATGACTACCTCATCTCTGTACCCCACACATACAATTATCTGTAAGGTCCCTTAGTCGAGCAGTGAATTTCAAACACAGATTCAACCAAAAGACCAGGGAGGTTTTCCAATGCCTTGCAAATAAGGGCACCTATTGGTAGATGGTTAAAATAAAGCAGACATTGAATATCCCTTTGAACATGGTGAAGTTATTAAATACACTTTGGACGGTGTATCAATACACCCAGTCACTACAAATATACAGGCGTCCTTTCTAACTAATTTGCCGGAGAGGAAGGAAACCACTCAGGGATTTCACCATGAGGCCATTGGTGACTTTAAATCAGTTACAGAGTTTAATGGCTGTGATAGGAGAAGACTGGGGATGGATCAACAACATTGTTGTTACTCCACAATACTAACCTAATTGACAGAGTGAAAAGAAGGAAGCCCGTACAGAATAAAAATATTCCAAAACATGCATCATGTTTGCAACAAGGCACTAAAGTCATGTGGCAAAGCCAAAACAACACATTACTGAGTACCACTCTCCATATATTTAAGCATAGTGGTGTTTGCATCATGTTATGGGTATGCTTGTAATCACTGGGGAGTTTTTCAGGATACAAAACTAATGGAATGGAGCTAAGCACAGACCAAATCCTAGAGGAAAACCTGGTTCCTTTCAACAAGACAATAACCTTAAACAGAAGGCCAAATCTACACTGGAGTTGCTTACCAAAAAATACATTGAATGTTCCTGAGTGGCCAATTTACAGTTTTGACTTAAATCTACTTGGAAATCTATTGCAAGACCTGAACAATGGTTGTCTAGCAATAATCAACAACCAATTTGACAGAGCTTGAAGAATTTTGAAAAGAATGATTGCCAAATGTTGCACAATCCAGGTGTGGAATGCTTTTAGAGACTTACCCAGAAGGACTAACAGCTGTAATCGCTGCCAAAGGTGCTTCTACAAAGTATTGACTCGGCATGTCAATACTTATGTATATTAGATATTTCTGTATTTCATTTTCAATAAATGTGCAAAAATGTCTAAACATGTTTTCACTTTGTCATTATGGGGTATTGTGTGTAGATGGGTATATGGGTGAGGGGAAAAAAATACTATTTTAATCAATTTTGAATTCAGGCTGTAACACAACAGTATGTGGGATAAGTCAAGGGGTATTAATACTTTCTGAAGGCACTGTATGTGTAAGTATACATTTGGTTAAATGTGTGCTTCTGTTCTTACCTGTGTGTAACTCTACTAGGTGGTGAGCAGTACCCAGAGGGAGCGGAGGACAGACTGCCTCCACCAGGAAGCCCTTACTACCTTGCTGACCCCTCCCAGCTCTGGTGAGAGAGACAATAGGATTATTGAATTACACTTTAAAAAATGTATTCTTCTAAAACAAACAGCCAATGTCAAACATAAATATAAAGGCAACATGCAACAATTTCAAAGATTTTACTGAGTTTACAGTTCAAATAAGGAAATCAGTCAATTTAAATACATTTATTAGGCCCTAATATATGGACTTCACCACTGGGAATACAGATATGCATCTGTTGGTCACAGATACCTTTAAAAAAAGGTAGGGGCGTGGATCAAAAAAACCGGTCAGTATCTGGTGTGATCAGCATTTGCCTCATGCAGTGTGACACATCTCCTTCGCAAAGTGTTGATCAGGCTGTTGATTGTGGAATGTTGTCCCACTCCTCTTCAATGGCTGTGCGAAGTTGCTGGATATTGGCGTGAACTGGAACGCGCTGTTTTACATGTCGATCCAGAGCATACTAAACATGCTCAATGGGTGACATGTCTGGTGAGTATGCAGACAATGGAAGAACTTGGATATTTTCAGCTTCCAGGAATTGTATACAGATCCTTTCGACACAGGCCATGCATTATCATGCTGAAACATGAGGTGATGGCGGTGGATGAATGGCACGACAATGGGCCTCAGGATCTCGTCACTGTATCTCTGTGCATTCAATTGCCATCGATAAAATGCAATTGTATTCATTGCCCGTAGCTTATGCCTGCCCTTACTGTAACTTCACCGCCACAATGGGGCACTATGTTCACAACGTTGACATCAGCAAACCGTTCGCCCAAACGATGCAATCTGCCCAGTACAGTTGAAACTGGGATTAATCTGTGAAGAGCACAATTCTCCAGCGTGCCAGTGGCCATTGAAGGTGAGCATTTGCCCACTGAAGTCGGTTACGACGCCGAACTGTAGTCAGATCAAGATCCTGGTGAGGACGACGAGCATGCAGATGAGCTTCCCTGAGACGGTTTCTGACAGTTTGTGCATAAATTGTTCAATTGTGCAAACCCACAATTTCATCAGCTGTCCGGGTGGCTGGTCTCAGACGTGATGTGGAGGTCCTGGGCTGGCGTGGTTACACGTGGTCTGCGGTTGTGAAGCCGGTTGGATGTACTGCCAAATTTCTTTACTTCGGCTAATTCTCTGGCAATAGCTTTGGTTGACACTCCTGGAGTCAGCATGCCAATTGCACGCTCCCTCAAAACTTGAGACATCTGTAGCATTGTGTTGTGTGACAAAACTACATATTTTACAGTGGCATTCTACAGTCCCCAGCAGAAGGTGCACCTGTGTAATGATCATGCTGTTTAATCAGCTTCTTCATATGCTATACCTGTCAGATGAATGGATTATCTTGGCAAAGGAGAAATGATCACTAACAGGGATGTAAACAAATTTGTGCACAAAATTTGAGAGAAATAAGCTTTTTGTGTGTATGGAAGATTTCAGGGATTTTTTATTTAGGCTCATAAACATGGGAACAACGAACACTACATGTTGCGTTTTATAATTTAGTTCAGTATAAATACATTCTAAAAATTAACAAACTTAAACATACAGTAGTAGGCCTCGGCTACACAGTAGACCTAGCCTACTAGACAGACTTGGGTTACACATAACCAGGGGTTAATTTTTTGTAAGTATTTTTTTTGGGGGGGGAACATAATCAGAACCGGGAACGAAAGTGATCCATACTGTTCCGGAACATAACTGTTATTTTAAAAGCATGGGAACAGGTTAATAACGTTATTTGACGTTCTGGGACTTTTTTCAGTCCCACAAAAAAACGTTACAAGGCGCCTATGCAAAGCCCTCACTCTGTCACTCAAACTTATTCCAGTGTCTGCCTGCCAGCTGGAAATCTTTGTCTGTGCGTGTAGGCTACCTGCTCCGCCCACCTCCGAAGCATAGGCTACTGTAGCCTACTGACATTACAAGCGTGAGTCAGAAATTAGGGAGAGATTTTTAATCAGAAGAATGGATTATTTTTCAATGCTAGTTACAGAAACTATAGTTATCACGTTTCACATTGGATTTATTAAAATGCCTTCAGAAAGTATTTACACCCCTTGACTTTTTCCACATTTTGTGTTACAGCCTGAATTAAAAACGGATATGTAGCTGCAATATGTCACTTTTTGGGCGACCAGAACAAATTCTCATAGTAATAGAAATGTGAGTGATAGATCTGTCATTCTCATTGAAAGCAAGTCTAAGATGTGGTAGATCTTTTCTATGCACGCTATTTCTATGCACCGCGTTGAGTTTTTGCCTCTTTTTTTACTTTTGGTTTTGTACTCCCGAGTGGCGCAGTGGTCTAAGGCCCTAGCTGTGCCACTAGAGATCCTGGTTCGAGTCCAGGCTCTGTCGCAGCCGGCCGCGACCGGGAGACCCATGGGCGGCGCACAATTGGTCCAGCGTTGTCCAAGGTAGGGGAGGGTTTGGCCGGCAGGGATGTGGGTTCGTTTCCCACAGGGCGCCAGTATAAAAAAATTAATAATAATAATGCATTCACTAACTGTAAGTCGCTCTGGATAAGAGCGTCTGCTAAATGACTCAAAGGAAAATGTAAAATGTACACCAGCTTCAAACAGCTGAAATACAATATTTTTGGTTATTGAAAGGTTTTTCACACTGGTTTAGATGGTATAATGTTTCTCTACATTATACATTGCTTGTTTTGTCACACAAACTGACATTAGGCGAACTAGTCGAATTTTAGCAACCAGGAAATGGCGGAGCGATTTCTGCATATTGCAAGTTTTTTAAATTGAGATTTTTTTGTCACTGCCCACACAATACCCCATAATGTCAAAGTAGAATTAATGTTTTTCAAAATTGTTACACATTTTATAAAAAATTAAAAGCTGAATTGTCTTGAGTCGATAAGTATTCAACCCATTTATTATGGCAAGCCTAAATAAGGTCAGGAGCACACATTTGCTTAACAAGTAAGTTGCATGGATTCACTCTGTGTACAATAGTGTTAAACAATTGTTTTTTTGATGACTACCTTATCTCTGTACCCCACACATACAATTATCTGTAAGGTCCCTTAGTCGAGCAATGAATTTCCAACACAGATTCAACCACAAAGAACAGGGAGGTTTTCCAATGGCTCACAAAGAAGGGCACCTGTTGGCAGATGAAATTTGTCCTGAATACAAAGTGTCTTGTTTGGGGCAAATCCAATACAACACATTACTGAGTACCACTCTCCATATTTTCAAGCACAGCGGTGGCTGCATCATGTATCATCCACCAGACAGTGTAGATTAATTCACCTTTCAGCAGGACAATAACCTAAAACGCAAGGCCAAATCTACACTGGAGTTGCTTATGAAAAAAGACAGTGAATGTTCCTGAGTGGCCGAGTTGCATTTAAGTCAAAACTGTATTTGAAAATCTATGGCAAGACCTGAAAAATGATTTTCTAGCAATAATCAACAACCAATTTGATAGAGCTTGAAGAATTTTGAAGATAACAATAGCCAAATATTGCACAATCCGGTGTGGAGAGCTCTTAGACTTACCCAGAAACAGCTGTAATCGCTGCCAAAGGTGCTTCTAAAAAGTATTGACTCAGAGGTGTGAATACTTATGTAAATAAGATCAAATCACATTTTATTTTGTCACATGCACTGAATACAACAGGTTACCTTACCGTGAAATGCTTTCTTAAAAGCCTGTAACCAACAATGCAGTTCAAGAAATAGAGTTAAGAAAATATTTACTAAATAAACTAAAGTAAAAAATAAAATAACAATAACGAGGCTATTTACAGGGGGTACCGAGTCAATGTGCAGGTTAGTCGAGGTAATTTTTACATGTACAGTGCCTTGCAAAAGTATTCATCCCCCTTGCCGTTTTTCCTATTTTGTTGCATTACAACCTGTAATTTAAATTTTAATTTATTTGGATTTCATGTAATGGACATACAAAAAAATAAATAGCGGAAAAGTGATGCGTGCATATGTATTCACCCCCTTTGCTATGAAGCCCCTAAATACGATCTGGTGCAACCAATTACCTTCAGAAGTCACATAATTGGTTAAATAAAGTCCACCTGTGTGCAATCTAAATGTCACATGATCTGTCAAATGTCTCAGTATATATACACCTGTTCTGAAAGGCCCCAGAGTCTGCAACACCACTAAGCAAGGGGCACCACCAAGCAAGCGGCACCATGAAGACCAAGGAGCTCTCCAAACAGGTCAGGGACAAAGTTGTGGAGAAGTACAGATCAGGGTTTGGTTATAAAAAAAATATCCAAAACTTTGAACATCCCACGGAGCACCAATAAATCCATTATTAAACAATGGAAAGAATATGGCATCACAACAAACCTGCCAAGAGAGGGCCGCCCACCAAAACCAACGGACCAGGCAAGGAGGGCATTAATCAGAGAGGCAACAAAGAGACCAAAGATAACCCAGAAGGAGCTGCAAAGCTCCACAGCGGAGATTGGAGTATCTGTTCGTAGGACCACTTTAAGTCGTACACTCCGCTGGGCTTTACGGAAGAGTGGCCAAAAAAAAGCCATTGCTTAAAGAATAGAATAAGCAAACACCTTTGGTGTTCGCCAAAAGCCATGTGGGAGACTCCCCAAACATATGGAAGAAGGTACTCTGGTCATATGAGACTATAATTGTGCTTTTTGGCCATCAAGGAAAATGCTATGTCTGGCGCAAACCCAACACCTCTCATCACCCAGAGAACACCATCCCAACAGTGAAGCATGGTGGTGGCAGCATCATGCTGTGAGGTGATCTATTTTTTGTTGTTGATTTAATCCATTTTGAATTCAGGCTGTAACACAACAAAATGTGGAAAAAGTCAAGGGGTATGAATACTTAATGAACTACAAAAAGGTAATACGTGTTTTTAATTATGTTGCCGCACTGCACACACAAGCTTTTTAGCTAGCTAGCTAGCTCTGGTCCAATGTTAAGCCAACTCTGGGAAGTTCAAAGACATTCAAAGTTTCTCCATAGAAGCTGCTCCTCCGTAGGTATAATTCTGTGGGCGTAATTTAGATAATGAATATCATAACAAGATGCCCAGCTCTTCAAGTCTCCTCATCCTCGCTCTCTCCCCACCCGCAAAATGCAGTCACATCTCGTGCCCTACATTGGTCTGTCTGTTGCATGTAAACAAGAGCTTGCCCACTCCTTAGCAAGCTGTTCTATCCACACTGATTGGTGAAGTAATTTTATTTTGTCAAGCTAATGTACAAAATATATATATTTCAGAAGTTTAAAAAGGAACAGAAAGGAATGATATAAACCGTTTTGTTTGGGTTCGAACCAGTTCAGAACTGTATTTTGCAGGTTGGAACAGTGGAACGGAATGAACAAAAAAAAATGGTTCTGTTCAGAATGAAATTATTTGAAAATGTATTTCAGTTCCAACCCCTGCTTATGTGGTCCTCTGTAGCTCAGCTGGTAGAGCACGGCGCTTGTAACGCCAAGGTAGTGGGTTCGATCCCCGGGACCACCCATACACAAAAAATGTATGCACGCATGACTGTAAGTCGCTTTGGATAAAAGCGTCTGCTAAATGGCATATTATTATTATTATTATTATTATTATAACAAAACAAAGGACGACATTGTCATAGCCATAGAGCAGGACTCCCTCAGTAGATCAGCGATCTCAGGCTCCTAAACTGAGTTAGATGATGGTGATGATGATGATGCAGGTGTCTTGTCGGCTCTGATGTTATCCTCTGCATCTCTGTAGCCTGTGATGCAAGGTGATGGAGTTGGTTTGCTGGCCCTGATGTCGTCCTCAGCTCAGCCTCTCTGTAGCCTGGACTTTGTACCCCTCCACAACTAACGTGTAGCAAACACTTGTGTGATGCCTCTGTTGCTGCTGCTGCTGCTATGGCGCAAAAACCCCCACCACACACCAGTCTAGCGTGGTAGTCATCCTCACTACGAGCTAACTTCCATTTCCATGATATAGTCTGTTCTCATTGATCAAGAAGCAGCCGGTTCTGAGATGCATATTTTAAATGTAAACATTAGCCGGCTGGCTAGCTAGCTAGCCAAACCAGACAAGCCAACCTGCCTCTAAAATATGTACAACATTTATAGAGCTCTCTGTTTGCATTGAGACTGCAGTGTAAGGCTCAACCTATTGCAGTGGTCACTAAGTCTTCAAAGGGTGTGCAAGCTTTTGTTCAAGCGCAGTACTAGCACATGGCATTTCCATCAAAGGACCCATGAGAACCAACGTCAAGTTCATAGGAGCATATCAAATTGGGTGTCAAATGAATGCTAAGAGTCAATTTACATTCACAGTAGAATGGCCATACTGAAGAGCTCAGTGACTTTCAACGTGGCACCGTCATAGGATGCCACCTTTCCAACAAGTCAGTTCGTCAAATTTCTGCCCTGCTTGAGCTGCCCTGGTCAACTGTAAGTGCTGTTATTGTGAAGTGGAAACGTCTAGGAGCAACAACGGCTCAGCCGCGAAGTGGTAGGCCACACAAACTCACAGAACAGGATCGGTGAGTGCTGAAGCGAGTAAAAATCGTTTGTCCTTGGTTGCAAAACTCACTACCGAGTTCCAAACTGCCTCTGGAAGCAACGTCAGCACAAGAACTGTTCGTCAGGAGCTTCATTAAATGTTTTTTTCCATGGCCGAGCAGCCGCGCACACAAGCCTAAGATCACCATGCGCAATGCCAAGCGTCGGCTCGAGTGGTGTAAAGCTCGCCGCCATCGGACTCTGGAGTAGTGGAAACGCATTCTCTGGAGTGATTAATCACGCTTCACCATCTAGCAGTCTGACGTACAAATCTGGGTTTGGCAGATTTTTATTTTTAGTCATTTAGCAGACGCTCTTATCCAGAGCGACTTACAGTTAGTGAGTGCATACATTTTCATACTGGCCCCCCGTGGGAATCGAACCCACAACCCTGGCGTTGCAAACGCCATGCTCTACCAACTGAGCTACACAGGACTATATGCCAGGAGAACGCTACCTGCCAGAATGCATAGTGCCAAATGTAAAGTTTGGTGGCTAGGCCCCTTCGTTCCAGTGGAGGGAAATCTTAACGCTACAGCATACAATTACATTCTACACGATTCTGTGCTTCCAACTTTGTGGCAACAGTTTGGGGAAGGCCCTTTCCTGTTTCAGCATGACAATGCCCCCGTGCACAAAGCGAGATCCATACAGAAATGGTTTGTCGAGATGGGTGTGGAAGATTTTGACTGGCCTGCACAGAGCCCTGACCTCAACCCCTTCGAACACCTTTGGGATGAATTGGAACGCCGACTGCGAGCCAGGCCTAATCGTCCAACATTAATGCCTGACCTCACTAATGCTCTTGTGGCTGAATGGAAACAAGTCCCCGCAGCAATGTTCCAACATCTAGTGGAAAGCCTTTCCAGAAGAGTGGAGGCTGTTATAGCAGCAAAGGGGGGACCAACTCCATATTAATGCCTATGGAATGAGATGTTCAACGAGCAGGTTTGGATAGCACAGTACAATACAGCACAGGAGACACACAGGCACACACACGCCTACACACACGCTAGCACACACACACTCTACACATGTACATTTTAATATTGTATGGTAGTATTGTACATTTTGTGCTGTGGATATGTAGTGGTGTGGTGCCTTGGCAGCAACTAATGGGGATCAAAAAAATTGCTGACATCTTAGAATTTTAATTCGGAGCAGATATTTTAAGAGTTTTTGGAAACGTGGTCGCATAAACCTGATGGAGACTTTACATGAATTCCATTACCAAAGTTTGCATCTGCAAGAGTTCTTCCACTAAATTCGTTTTAGAAAAATGTTCTGTGGAAATTGTCACAATTAGTCCTTTTGCATATAATTGTATGTTTTGATAAACTTTGAAATCAATGGTTTTTGTTTGGCATACATTTTAAAGTGAAAAAAACTGAGTCAAAGCTCACGTAGGATAGCCCACAACTCACCAAGACCTTGATCAGTGAAATGCGGTGTGTCAGTGCTGGGGTAGAGCAAAAGGTGGCACACCGTGTATCTCTCCAGGACCAGGCTTGGTGACCACCAATCCAATGGTGAGTGGATGGTATGTAATGTTATTGTGTTTCTCGGTACAGTGTGTCGGAGCTGGGCGAGGAGGGGGCGAGTGGGGTCCGGGGGCCAGTGCTCTTCCACCCCCCGCCCAACTGCAGAATCCGAGAGGTGCACTGTGGAAGCCAGGTGCGACTGGTCGTTATAGCGATCCACGACATCGCCAAAGGGGAGGAGATAACGGTGGACTACAGCCTGACGGACTGGGGAGAGAACGCCATGGTGATTATGACTCACTGATAACATCACCAGCTTTCCTCATCGCAAACCCATTTCAGCCATTCTTAAATATACTCGGTGAATGAGTGTTGTTAGAGGTCATGACGTCTGACTAACAGCAACCTTATACACATCAAAATTGACATTGTTCATCTGTAGGCATTACTAGTTACATGTCATGTTGTCTCCTTGTTCTAAAAAAAACATTGCAATGCCCAGTGTAATTGTTGTGGCACTCAGATATAAATGCTCTGAATCCATATTGAAGCCTGTTGGTTGTGTTATGAATATTCTAGGGATTCCATAGCTCTGTGTCTTCGCGAGGGTTTGACTGCAGCTTTAACCCAGACAATAACATTAAGAAGGTAATCAAAACGGTTGTGACCCTACCTCAAGTTCATTTAATCAATTGGTTACTGAGGGTATTTACAAAGGTATTTTTGTCTTGTTTTGGGGTTTGTCTCCAAACAGGAGGAAGAGCCCGGCCCCCACCCCCACCCTCTGTCTCTCTCCGTCTCCGACTACCTCACCCCCTCCTGGTCCCTCTCCCCCTCCTCCTCCCCACTCACCCACTCTGAGCCCAGCGACTCGGACCGAGAAGAAGATGAGGAGGAAGACGACGACGATGACGATGATGACGACGATGAAGAAGAAGAGATTGAGGAGCTGAGGGGCCGCATGCTCCGCCGCCGAAAGAAGCGCAAGATAGCTGTCACGGTCACCACCAAGAAGAGCAGCGCTGCCAACCCCAGGGCCGGACCCGGCCACCCCTGCTCGTCCTCCTCCTCCCGACTGGCCGCCACCTCCTCCCCGACCCAGTCTCAGCCCGCCATGGCCCTGGCGCCCCCCACCACCAATATCAACAACAACATCAACATAAACATCGGCAGCTCCAGCGGGGCTACGGTCAGCCGACGGCAGCACTGTTCCTACTGCGGCCGCCACTACCGTTCACTGGCGCGCCACCTGGAGAAACACCATGCCAACCAGCCAAAGGTCAGGGCGGCCATGGATCTAGCCACACTCCACACACACTCCTCCTCTACCTCCTCCCATCCTCACCCGTCCTCCACCAGCTCCTCTCATGGCCACACCTTCGCCTCCCCCCAGCCCTCCTCATCCTCCGTTCCCGCCCCTCCCCCTCTTTTCTCCAGGGAGAGAGAGAGGGATGCGCCGGCCACTCGAAGTTCCTCGGGGGCGGTCTCCTTTTCGCTCTCACTGTCCCCGCCCTCGGCTGCTCAGTCGGCCGTGGCCAAGAAAGGCTCCAGCTTATCGGTGCAGACGCCAAAGCAAGGCTCCGCCCCTGCAGTGGCGCCGGTGAAAAGTCTGCCCACACCCACACCACCCAGGAGGGGCCGCAGGCTGAAGAGAGCGAAGGAGGAGGAGCAGCAGAAAACGGAGGAGTGTGTCAGGAGCAAGGAGGAAGAGATACCTCCACCTTCTACCCCCGAGCCGGAGGAAGAAGAGCCGGGTGAGGAGCTGGAGCTGAGTGTAGCCGGGGAAGAGGAGAGTCCTGAGGATAAGAGTGCAGAGATGGCTAGGTATGTGATGGATATGGTTCAGCTGCATTGGAAAGAGAAGGCGGGCCTAACTGAAATGTGAAATATTAAGTTCTGAATCGAAACTGCTTGAGAAATGACAGCATATTCTGCCATTCTATTATTATTATTATTATTATTGTTGTGATAAAGACAAAGTAAAAATATTATTTTTTGACATTGTTTTTACTTTCTCTAGCTCCCACAGACATCACATGCCCCCTCTCCTCTCCTCCCTCTCCTGCCTGGTGCTCTACCTCCGCCGGCAACAGCACTCCTCCTTCTTGTCCCTGTCTCGCTCCCCCAGTTCGGCCGAGGCCTGGCGCCTCCTTTGCCACTCCAGCCTGGCGCTACTTATCCTCTACAACCGCCACCGTGAGTGTGAAGTGGCCAAGCTCACCACCCAGGACTACCACAACCGCACCACCGCCCCGAGCCCGACCCAGGCTAACTTGGCCAACAACCCCACCACCGGCCTAGAGGCCATCCTCTCCCCCTTCGAGCGCCAGGTCCTTTGCCACCTCCCCCGGGCAGGTGTGCTGGGCAAAAGGGGGCGCATCCAGCCCCTCATCCTGCCCCCGCACTGCGAGCCCTGCATGGAGCTGCTCCTTCATACCTCTGCCAACGTGGGCGTGGACCCCCACAGCCCCTACGTCTTCTCCCGGCCCTTCCACTCGCCCGCCACCCCGCTCCGGGGCACCGACCTGCTGCGCAACCTGGCACGGGCCAGCGGTGCCAAGAACCCCGGGGCGCTGACCCAGACACGGGTGCGCCGGCAGGTGGCCATCCTCACCCAGCTACTGCTCCTGGAGGAAGGTGAAGGGCAGGGCCAGCCAGGCGGGGCGGCCGGCAAGCGCCTGGAAGACTTCCTGCAGAGGGAGTACCATGTGACCCAGAGCTGCACCACGATAGGCCGAGACCCTGCGCTGATTGGACGTGTGGGCAGGGTGGTGCTTTATGGGGAGCAGGAGGGCGTGCTGTTCAGGGGGATGAGCCTGCAGCACATTTGTCTGGAGCTGGATGGTAAGGAGACACTGCCGGGAACTCGGCTCTGGTATGACGAAGCTAGCACTCCCTACTAATCCATGATAGAACGCCATCCCTAATCAAAGAAAGTTGGGGGCATTCTGTTCATTAAGGGTTTGCACCAGTGCAAAGCCTGCACCGGTTACCTTCAGAAGAGAATACAAGAGAAATGTTGAATTGCATTTAGGTGGGAACTATTAATCTCCCCAATTTTCTCTCATTGTGATGATGGAGGAGAGGAGGAAACAAGGAGGTTCTGAGATGGATCAGCAGTAGAGTAATTGATAGCTTTGTTAATAGGAGAATATGCTCGTCATGCTCACTAGGGGTATGTTTACTAGTTGTAAGTTGTTAATAAAGCATGAATAAGGGAGGCTTTACACTGAGGGAGGTGACACAAGGGCGATTCTCCTCTCGCCATGACATACTGCTGTGAGCAAACTAACCATAACATTTTAAATAGATGGGAGCTCTAAATACTGCACCTTGTGATTGCATTGCCTGCAGTACAACAATCTGTCCTTCTCACAGACATTGCTAACGGACTATGTGATATGTTACGGTTTGCTCATTACAAGTGTGTAAATGCCAGAGGAAAACTTTGCCATGAGTCACCAAGCCCTTTGCATTGTATAAGGCAGGTGATGGTGAATTAACAAAGCATGTTGTATATGTGTTATAGTGCCCTCTACCTCTTCTATCCCTATCCAACAGTCATGTCAGGGAACTCTGCAGACTCCTTCTCAGGTGACTCAAACGGGGAGGCAGAGAAGGTGGAGGTGGTGACGAAGCGACCAGGTCGACCCCCCCGCAAGAAGAAAGGACCCCCTCCCTCCCCTGTCAACCCTCTGCTCCCTGGTGGCCACAAAAGGAGAAGCATCCAGCCCAAGTCAGGTATGTACCGTTGTATTGTTTGGCCTACCCAACGCTTTATGTATTCATGCGTATTTGGGTGAATGTTTTTGCACAATTGCCCGTTATTGCGCTACATCCGTGCAAGCCAGTGCGTGCTAGCGTCAGACAAGTTTGAAAAACAAGGGACTCAACAAGCGAATCGATTACTTCCTCATACCTATCGATTTTTCAAATCTAGAAATGTTGGTCATTTCATCCTTCGTTAGTTTTTGTTATCAGTCGACTAAAACTCTGGACAATTTATGTCTAGTTTTAGTCATAGCCATTTTAGTCACATAGTGTATTAAATAATGAATATTTAGGCAACCTCTAAATTCCATAATGTGCCTTGTCCAACTAGGCCTACTATCCCCTCGTATACCTTAGCTGGCAACATTGATATTGTGGCAGATTGTAACCCATGCCAGACATAATTAAACATATAGACAATAAAGCCTTGGCTACACGTTAAACAATTTACAGCTCTGATTTTCTCCCCATCATAACCATCAAGGGGGGTAAATAAGTGGTTTCCTTGAAAAGGGGAGAATTTGAGCTTTCCAAGTATTACTGTACTCCTAATATTCAACAAATAGCATACGCTTTTCCAATTGGAAAAAGGCAACTGCAACTCGCATTTGAGGACCTTGGTGCGAGAGCGGCAACACAGATGAATGAGTAACAGCGCACATGAGAAAATTGAGCTTCTGATGTGATTAAATGTAAATGTAATTAAAGCAAAAATAGCCTACATGAAAGTGAGAGAGTAAACATAATTGAGGTTAGTTACAAGTGAAGTGTCCTGGCTTCGCATCAGTTCAAAAGATTGACGAGTGATTGAAGTGACTGCCTGGGAGCTGTGTGGGAGAGCCGGGCAGATCAGCTCAATCAGACCACGCAACTGAAAGATGTAAATTCTGCCAAAGGATTACATTAAATATTCTGCATGCATGCTTATGGTTGGACAAAACAATTGAAAAGGAGCTTCATGTCAAATTAAATGTCCATTAGTCTCACATGGAATTCACATCTTTGTAATAGTTATAGTTTTTTTCCCAGGGCATCTCGTTATCGTCAATAGTTTTAGTCAGGAAAAAGATTGAGTATTTTTCATCATAGTTATTGTTAACTAAGTTAACATTGCTGTCTGTACTCCTCTCTGTCTATATCCCGACCTGTACTTACATATTGCCTGTTCTATGATCAACCCATAAATAATCTACATGCAACAGTGTCTCTTGTGCCTTTCACAATGATTTCACAAGGCTTATTTAACACGATATGCCTGAATACTTATAACAAATAAGCTAACAAATAAACATGTTTTTCTTTCAATTATTGAATTACCTACATGATGTTATTTCACGTTATCCCTTTGGAGGGCACTATCACGTTGTTAAAAAATATGACTAGATCAGGCAATTTATATAACAGTAATATTGTCAAAATTCTGCTTTTACCAACCATAACAAAAAAAAATGTATGCATGCAAACATACTGTGCATTCGGAAAGTATTCAGACCCCTTGACTTTTTCTACATTTTGTTACGTTACAGCCTTATTCTAAAATTGATTACATTAGTTTTTCCCCCCTCATATCTACACACAATACACCATACTGACAAAGCAAAAACAGGTTTTTAGCCATTTTTGCTAATTTATAAAACAATTACCGGAAATATCACATTTACATAAGTATTCAGACTCTTTTCTCAGTACTTTGTTGAAGCACCTTTGGCAGTGATTACAGCCTCGAGTCTTCTTGGGTATGACGCTTCAAGCTTGGCACACCTGTAGGCTCTGTCGTAGCCGGCCGCGACCGGGAGACCCATGGGGTGGCGCATAATTGGCCCTGCGTCGTCCAGGGTAGGGGAGGGAATGGCCGACAGGGATGTAGCTCAGTTGGTAGAGCATGGCGTTTGCAACGCCAGGGTTGTGGGTTCAATTCTCACGGGGGGCCACTATGAAAAATAAAATAATGTATGTACTCACTAACTGTAAGTCGCTCTGGATAAGAGCGTCTGCTAAATGACTAAAATGTCAATGTAAATGTATTTGGAGTTTCTCCCATTCTTCTCTGCAGATCCTCTCAAGCTCTGTCAGGTTGGATGGGGAGCGTCATTGCACAGCTATTTTCAGGTCTGTCCAGAGATGTTCGATCGGGTTCAAGTCCGGGCTCTGGCTGGGACACTCAAGGACATTCATAAACTTGTCCCAAAGCCACTCCTGCGTTGTCTTGGCTGTGTGCTTAGTGTCATTGTCCTGTTGGAAGGTGAACCTTCGCCCCAGACTAAGGTCCTGAGCGCTCTGGAGCATGTTTTCATCAAGGATCTCTCTGTACTTTGCTCTGTTCATCTTTTGCCTCGATCCTGTCTAGTCTCCCAGTCCCTGCCGCTGAAAGACATTACATTTACATTACATTTTAGTCATTTAGCAGACGCTCTTATCCAGAGCGACTTACAGGAGCAATTAGGGTTAAGTGCCTTGCTCAAGGGCACATTTACGTCATTTAGCAGACGCTCTACAGCATGATGCTGCCACCACCATGCTTCACCGTAGGGATGGTGCCAGGTTTCCTCCAGACGTGATGCTTGGCATTCAGGCCAAAGAGTTCAATCTTGGTTTCATCAGACCAGAGAATCTTGTTTCTAATGGTCTGAGAGTCTTTAGGTGCCTTTTGGTAAACTCCAAGCGGGCTGTCATGTGGCTTTTACTGAGGAGTGGCTTCCGTCTGGCCACTCTACCATAAAGGCCTGATTGGTGTAGTGCTGCCGAGATGATTTTCCTTCTGTACGGTTCTCCCATCTCCACAGAGGAACTCTAGAGCTCTGTCAGAGTGATCATCGGGTTTTTGGTCACCTCCCTGACCAAGGCCCTTCTCCCCCGATTGCTTAGTTTGGCCGGGCGGCCAGCTCTAGGAAGACTCTTGGTAGCTCCAAACTTCTTCCATTGCGGGCCTTCAATGCTGCAGAAATGTTTTGGTACCCTTCCCCAGATCTGTGCCTCGACACAATCCTGTCTTGGAGCTCTACGGACAATTCCTTCGACCTCATGGCTTGGTTTTTGCTCTGACTTGCACTGTCAACTGTGGGAGCTTATATAGACAGGTGTGTGCCTTCTCAAATCATGTCCAATCAATTGAATTTACCACAGGTGGACTCCAATCAAGTTGTAGAAACAGCTCAAGGATGATCAATGGAAACAGGATGCACCTGAGCTCAATTTCGAGTCTCATAGCAAAGGGTCTGAATAATTATGTAAATAAAGTATCTGTTTTTGTTTTATGTTTTTTTGCACAAAACAATGACCCTTTCGCTTTGTCATTATGGGGTATTGTGTGTAGATTGCTATTTTTTAATCCATTTTAGAATAAGGCTGTTATGTAACAAAATGTGGAAAAAGTATTGGGGCTGAATACTTTCCGAAGGCACTGTATTAGGTGATAATTAAGAAAAGTGATCGTCAGGCGAAATTACTGTATATCAAACGTTTTACCATTGCAACATTAAGATGTACAGTCACATTCACCATGGTTGTCTGAAGCGTGCTATAGAGTTCACAACTGGCGATGCCTCATTGCGATTGGTTATTCCCCATCATTTGCAACAATGTCAATGAAGCGTCATCACTATCTTTCCTTTGTGGTACCTCAAACTGTTTTGATTACCAGCTGAGTTGATTTTACTCCTGGCTCAGAGTTTGTCTGGTCAAGGTCTTAACATCATCCTAGAAACTACTCTAAGCTGGGTTTTAACAGGATTCCCAGGACCTTTTCTGATATGCTTTGTGGATACGGGCCCTGATCTTAAAAATATTTATATACGGTGCCTTCAGAAAGTATTCATACCCGTTGGTTTATTACATATTTTGTTGTGTTACAGCCTGAATTCAAAATCTCACACATCTACACACAATACCCCATAATGACAAAGTGAAAACATGTTTTTAGAGAATGTATTGACATTTCATTGTAGATTTGGCCTTGTGTTTTGGGTTGTTTTCTTCTCTCAGTGTCTGGTGGAAAGCAGACTGAACCAGCTTTTCCTCTAGGATTTTGTGCTCCATTCCGTTAGTTTTTTATCCTGAAAAACTCCCCAGTCCTTAATGAGTACAAGCATACCCATAACATGATGCAGCCACCACTATATTTGAAAATATGGAGAGTGGTACTCAGTAATGTGTTGTATTGGATTTGCCCCAAACATAACACTTTGTATTCAGGACAAAAAGTTAATTGCTTTGACACATTTTTTGCTGTATTACTTTAGTGCCTTATTGCAAACAGGATGCATGTTTTGGAATATTTGTATTCTGTACAGGCTTCCTTTTCATTCTGTATTGTGAAGTAACTACAATGTTGTTGATCCGTCCTCAGTTTTCTGTCACAGCCATTAAACACTAACTGTTTTAAAGTCAACGTTAGCCTCATGGTGAAATCCCTGAGCATTTTCTTCCCCCTCTGGCAACTGAGTTAGGAAGGATGCCTGTATCTTTGTAGTGACTGGGTGTATTGACACACCATCCAAAGTTTAATTAATTACGTCACCAAGCTCAAAGGGATATTCAATGTCAGCTTTTTTTTATTTAGACCAATCTACCAATAGGTGCCCTCCTTTGCAAGGCATTGGAGCGTCATCACTATCTTTCCTCGACTGAGGGACCTTACAGATAATTTTATGTATGGGTTACAGAGATGAGGTAGTCATTCAAAAATCATGTTAAACACTATTAGGCAATAACTCAAAAAGGAAGTACCCGTAATAAGGATTGTTCAATGGTGGTCTGACCAATCGGAATCCATGTTTCAAGATTGTTTTGATCACGTGGACTGGGATGCCTCTGAGAATAACATTGATGTATACACTGACACAGTGACTGAGTTCATCAGGAAGTGTATAGGGGATGTTGTTCCCACTGTGACTATAAAAACCTATCCAAACATAAATCTGTGGGTAGATGGCAGCATTCGCGCAAAACTGAAAGCGCAAACCACCCCATTTAACTACGGCAAGGTGACTGAGAATATGGTTGAGTACAAACAGTCCAGTTATGCCCTTCATAAGGCAATCAAACAGGCAAAACATCAGTACAGAGACAAAGTGGAGTCACAATTCAACGGCTCAGTCACGAGAAGTATGTGGCAGGGACTCCAGACAATCACAGATTATAAAGGAAAAACCTGCCACGTCTTGCTCCCGGACAAGCTAAACACCTTATTCACCTGCTTCGAGGAAAACAGTGCCGCCGACGCGGGCCACCACTGCTCCCGTGGACTGTGACCTCTCGTTCTCCGTGGCCGACGTGAGTAAGACATTTAAGCGTGTTAACCCTGCCGGCCCAGGCGGCATCCCTAGCCGCGTCCTCAGTGCATGCGCAGACCAGTTGGCTGGAGTGTTTACGGACATATTCCATCTCTCCCCATCCCTGTCTGTTGTCCCCACTTGATTCAAGATGTCCACAATTGTTCCTGTTCCAAGAAAGTGAAGGTAACTGAACTAAATGACTATCGCCCCGTAGCACTCACTTCTGTCATCATGAAGCGCTTTGAGAAGTTAGTTAAGGATCATATCACCTCCACCTTACCCGACACCCTAGACCCACTGCTATATACCACCCCAATAGATCCACGGATGTCACAATCGCCATCGCAGTGCCCTATCCCATCTGGACAAGAGGACTACCTATGTAAGAATGCTGTTAATTGGATTCCCAGGCTCAGCTTCAACACATTTACATTTACATTTACATTTTAGTCATTTAGCGACACTCTTATCCAGAGCGACTTCCAGGAGCAAATTAGGGTTAAGTGCCTTGCTCAAGGGCACATTTACGTCATTTAGCAGACGCGCTTATCCAGAGCGACTTACAAAATTGTGCATTCACCCTCCTCTAGCCAGTGGGATAACCACTTACAATTTATGTATTTATTTTTTTATTTTTTTGGGGGGGGGGTGTTGAAGGATTAACTTTATCCTATCCCAGTATCCTTAAAGAGGTGGGGTTTCAAATATGTCTCCGGAAGGTGGTGGAGTGACTCCGCCCTGTCCTGGCGTCGTGAGGGAGGCTTGTTCCACCATTGGTGGTGCCAGAGCAGCCGAACAGTTTTGACTGGGGGGCTGAGCGCGGGGGACCTATGCTTCCGCAGAGGCAAGGGGAGCCAGCAGGCCAGAGGTGGATGAACGCAATGCCCTCGTTTGGGTGTAGGGACTGATCAGAGCCTGAAGGTACGGAGGTGCCGTTCCCCTCACTGCTCCATAGGCAAGCACCATGGTCTTGTAACGGATGCGAGCTTCAACTGGAAGCCAGTGGAGTGTGCGGAGGAGGGGGGGTGACGTGAGAGAACTTGGGAAGGTTGAACACCAGACGGCCTGCGGCATTCTGGATGAGTTGTAGGGGTTTAATGGCACAGGCAGGGAGCCCAGCCAACAGCGAGTTGCAGTAATCCAGACGGGAGATGACAAGTGCCTGGATTAGGACCTGTGCCGCTTCCTGTGTAAGGCAGGGTCGTACTCTCCGAATGTTGTAGAGCATGAACCTGCAGGATCGGGTCACCGCCTTGATGTTAGCGGAGAACGACAGGGTGTTGTCCAGGGTCACGCCAAGGCTCTTCGCACTCTGGGAGGAGGACACAACGGAGTTGTCAACCGTGATGGCGAGATCATGGAACGGGCAGTCCTTCCCCGGGAGGAAGAGCAGCTCAGTTGCCAGGTTCAGCTTGAGGTGGTGATCCGTCATCCATATGATATGTCTGCCAGACATGCAGAAATGCGATCGCCACCTGGTTATCAGAAGGGGGAAAGGAGAAGATTAGTTGTGTATCGTCAGGTAGCAATGATAGGAGAGGCCATGTGAGGATATGACAGAGCCAAGTGACTTGGTGTATAGGAGCGAAAAGGAAGGGCCTAGAACTGAGCCCTGGGGGACACCAGTGGTGAGAGCACGTGGTGCGGAGACAGCTTCTCGCCACGCCACTTGGTACACCATAGTACCCTCCAAGCTCATCATTAAGGTTCTTAACAACGCTCTGTGCAACTGGATCCTGGACTTCCTCACGGGCTGCCCCCAGGTGGTAAAGGTAGGCAACAACACCTGGACTATGCTGATCCTCAACACAGGGGCCCCACAATGGTGCATGCTCAGACCCCTCTACTATGTTCACCCATAACTGCGTGGCCATGCACGTCTCCAACTCAATCATCAAGTTTGCAGACGACACAGTGGTAGGCCTGATCGACGGGCCTCAGTGGAGTAGGTGAAAAGCTTCCACTGACAATCTGAAATGGTCCACCCATACAGACATTGTGGTGAAGAAGGCGCAACAGCGCCTCTTCAACCTCAGGAGGCTGAAGAAATTCAGCTTGGCCCCTAAGACCCTCACAAACTTTTACATATGCACCATTTGAGAGCATCCTGTCGGGTTGTATCACCGCCTGGTACGGCAACTGCACTGTCCGCAACCGCAGGGCTCTCCAGAGGGTGGTGCGGTCTTCCCAGAGCGTTGTGCGGTCTTCCCAACGCATCACCGGGAGGGCAATGCCCTCCAGGATATCTACAGCACCCGGTGTCACAGGAAGGCCAAGAAGATCATCAAGGACCTCAGCCACCCAAGCCACGGCCTGTTCACCATCCAGAAGGCAAGGTCAGTACAGGTACATCAAAGCTGGGACCGAGAGATCGAACATCTCTGGAGAGACCTGAAAATAGCTGTGCAGCAATGCTTCCCATCCAACCTGACAGAGCTTGAGAGGATCTACAGAGAAGAATGGGAGAAACTCCCCAAGTACAGGTGTGCCAAGCTTGTAGCGTCATACCCAAGAAGACTTGATGCTGTAATCGCTGTCAAACGTGCTTCAACAAAGTACTGAGTAAAGGGTCTGAGTACTTATGTAAATGTGATATTTCTTTATTTTAAATAAATTAACAAAATTCTAAAAAACGGGTTTTTGCTTTGTCATTATGGGGTATTGTGTGTAGATTGAGGGAAAAAACGATTTTATCAATTTTAGAATAAGGCTGTAACGTAACAAAAGGTCAAGGGGTCTGAATACTTTCCGATGTCTATTTATTTTTGTATTCATTTTTTCCCAATTTTTTTGTACTCCGACATTGCTCGTCCTAATATTTCAATATTTTTTATTCCATTATTTTACTTTTTTGATGTGTGTGTATTGTTAGATATTCCTGCACTGTTGGAGCCAGGAACACAAGCATTTCGCTACACCTGCAATAACATCTGCTAAATATGTGTATGCGACCAATAAGATTTGATTTATTATTGCACACAGTGAGTCCATGCAACTTATTATGTGACTTGTTAGGCACATTTGTACTCCTGAACTTATTTAGGCTTGCCATAACTAAGGGGTTGAATATTTATTGACAAGACATTTCAGCTTTTCATTTGTAATTAATTTGTAAACATTTTGTAAAACATAATTCCGCATTATGTGGTATTGTGTTTAGGCCAGTGACAAAAAATCTAAATGTAAGCAATTTTATATTCAGGCTGTAATACAACAAAATGTGGAAAAAGTCAAGGGGTGTGAATACTTGCTGAAAGCACTGTATAGGTTAGGGGTTAGGTGCTCTGGGGATGGATTTGGAATTGGGTAATTGATACTTATAAGTCTGTCCTGTGTTCCCAGGGAAGCGTGGGGTGCTGAAGCGGCCCTGGTCAGAGGCGGAGCGCGTCGCCGTGGAGACGCACCTGAAGAGGAACATCATGGAGCTCCGCGTGCCAGCCAAGGCAGACTGTGAGCGCTGCTTGCAGCTCTGCCCCCTGCTGGTCAGCAACCAGCGCGACTGGAGGGCCATCAAGTTTTACTGCCACAACCGCATTCAGCTACTGAAGAAGCAAGGCAGGAAGGAGAGTGCAGGACAAGGGGCACTCTGTTAGTTAGAGAGGGAGAGAGAGGGAGTGAGATATGGGAGAGGTCGAGAACTGACTTCTACGATCTGGAGTGACCTGATTCTGGTCCTGGCGAAGTAAGTGCAGTCTACTGGTTTTCGACTGTATTGACCTGACCTCTGACTTCATTTTTAAGACTCATACCTGGGACTAGGCATTCAATAATCAGTCCATATCTGCAGTGTTGGCTTCATCAAGAGTCAAAAAGATAATTAATTGAGATTAGTTGAAATGTCTCCTGTGACCCAGGGCCGTATCCTCAAAGCGTCTCAGAAAAGGCCCAAGGAATCCTGTTAAAACCTGATTTTAAGAAAAATAAAGCTCCCAGCTCAGAGTAGGATTTAGGATGATGTTAAGACACTGCTCAGTCAAACTCAGTGTCTTATCTGGTAATCACGACAGTTTGGGGTACCGCAAAGGAAAGATAGTGATGCCGCTTTTTGACATTGTTGCAAATAATGGGGAATAATCAATCGTTATGAGGCATTGCCAGCTGTGAACTCTTTAGCACGCTTCAGACATGTGACTGTATGTTGCAATGGAAAAGCGTTTGACATAATTTTCGCCTGACACGATCAGCCTTCTCTTAATTATTGCCTTATATGTTGGCATGCATAACTTTTTCATTTTTTATGAAATATGGTGGTAGTTGAAAAATTAATTAGCATAATAAATAAAAACCCATTAAATTCCGTCAGTTTTTTACGCTAAAGAGCAGAGTTTTTTTTTGCATAGGCTGTGTCTCAATCCACTGCATCCGCCGATGTCGCCCTTCCACATTTGCAGTGAAAGGTGGCAGAGTTAGAGCGGTGTTTGTCAGGCCATGAGACATCCCGGAAGTCTGTCTTCTCACAAACGTCCGAACGGTTTGGTCTACAAACTATTATGACCCCCCTCTGTCGACTAAGTGGGACTCTTATAACAAAAGAGGCTTCATGCAAAGCCTTTATTTTTACCCATACGGTCGTTCCATAGACAGTGGGGGAAAAAAGTATTTAGTCAGCCACCAATTGTGCAAGTTCTCCCACTTAAAAAGATGAGAGAGGCCTGTAATTTTCATCATAGGTACACGTCAACTATGACAGACAAATTTAGAAAAAAAAATCCAGAAAATCACATTGTAGGATTTTTATGAATTTATTTGCAAATTATGGTGGAAAATAAGTATTTGGTCACCTACAAACAAGCAAGATTTCTGGCTCTCACAGACCTGTAACTTCTTCTTTAAGAGGCTCCTCTGTCCTCCACTCGTTACCTGTATTAATGGCACCTGTTTGAACTTGTTATCAGTATAAAAGACACCTGTCCACAACCTAAAACAGTCACACTCCAAACTCCACTATGGCCAAGACCAAAGAGCTGTCAAAGGACACCAGAAACAAAATTGTAGACCTGCACCAGGCTGGGAAGACTGAATCTGCAATATGTAAGCAGCTTGGTTTGAAGAAATCAACTGTGGGAGCAATTATTAGGAAATGGAAGACATACAAGACCACTGATAATCTCCCTCGATCTGGGGCTCCACCAAGATCTCACCCCGTGGGGTCAAAATGATCACAAGAACGGTGAGCAACAATCCCAGAACCACACGGGGGGACCTAGTGAATGACCTGCAGAGAGCTGGGACCAAAGTAACAAAGCCTACCATCAGTAACACACTACGCCGCCAGGGACTCAAATCCTGCAGTGCCAGACGTGTCCCCCTGCTTAAGCCAGTACATGTCCAGGCCCGTCTGAAGTTTGCTAGAGTGCATTTGGATGATCCAGAAGAGGATTGGGAGAATGTCATATGGTCAGATGAAACCAAAATAGAACTTTTTGGTAAAAACTCAACTTGTCGTGTTTGGAGGACAAAGAATGCTGAGTTGCATCCAAAAAACACCATACCTACTGTGAAGCATGGGGGTGGAAACATCATGCTTTGGGGCTGTTTTTCTGCAAAGGGACCAGGACGACTGATCCGTGTAAAGGAAAGAATGAATGGGGCCATGTATCGTGAGATTTTGAGTGAAAACCTCCTTCCATCAGCAAGGGCATTGAAGGTGAAACGTGGCTGGGTCTTTCAGCATGACAATGATCCCAAACACACCGCCCGGGCAACGAAGGAGTGGCTTCGTAAGAAGCAATTCAAGGTCCTGGAGTGGCCTAGCCAGTCTCCAGATCTCAACCCCATAGAAAATCTTTGGAGGGAGTTGAAAGTCCGTGTTGCCCAGCGACAGCCCCAAAACATCACTGCTCTAGAGGAGATCTGCATGGAGGAATGGGCCAAAATACCAGCAACAGTGTGTGAAAACCTTGTGAAGACTTACAGAAAACGTTTGACCTGTGTCATTGCCAACAAAGGGTATATAACAAAGTATTGAGAAACTTTTGTTATTGACCAAATACTTATTCTCCACCATAATTTGCAAATAACATTCATTAAAAATCCTACAATGTGATTTTCTGGATTTTTTTCCCTCATTTTGTCTGTCATAGTTGACGTGTACCTATGATGAAAATTACAGGCCTCTCTCATATTTTTAAGTGGGAGAACTTGCACAATTGGTGGCTGACTAAATACTTTTTCTCCCCACTGTAAATTCAATTTCTGCACCCCTTTAGATTTGAACGAAACCTTCCATACATGTTTGCCCATGGTAGAAGTGGTCAGAAAGTGACTTTTTGGACCTGAATGCCAAAACATTCTGGAGAGAGGTGCTCAAACTTGACCCATTTTGCATACCCCACCCTACCGTAAGACATCCATGTCTTCATGACTGAAAAAGATAAACGGTTGAGTTTGATATCATTTGAAAGCTTACAAACAGGGTTGCCAAACTATTTGATAATTTCTTAAAATATAGGTGTATATATACAGTGCATTCAGAAAGTATTTAGTCCCCTTGACTTTTTCCAAATGTTGTTACTTTACAGCCTGAATTTAGAATTGATTACATTTAGATGTTTTGTTACTGGCCTAAACACAATACCCTATAATGTCCAAAAAGAATTAAAACATAATTCCGCTTTAACAAATTAATTACAAATGAAAAGCTGAAATGTCTTGGGTCAATAAATATTCAACCCCTTTGTCATGGCAAGCCTAAATAAGTTCAGGAGTACAAATGTGCCAACAAGTCACATAATAAGTTGCTTGGACTCACTCTGTGCAATAACAAATCAAATCTTATTGGTTTCATACACATATTTGGTAGATGTTATTGCATGTGTAGCGAAATGCTTGTGTTCCTAGCTCAAACAGTGCAGGAATATCTAACAATACACACATTTAAAAAGTAAAATAATGTAATAAAAATATATATAAATATTAGGACGAGCAATGTCGGAGTCTGGAGTACAAAAAAAATTATGAAAAATAATACAGTGAGGGGAAAAAAGTATTTGATCCCCTGCTGGGGATCAAATACTTTTTTCCCTCACTGTAAATACAAAAATAATCATTATATATATATATATATATATATATATATATATATATATATATATATATATATATATATACATACAGTGCCTTTGGAAAGTATTCAGACCCCTTGACTTTTTCCACATTGTGACGTTACAGCCTTATTCTAAATGTTTCCTCATCAATCTACACACAATACCCCATAATGACAAAGCAAAAACTGGTTTATAGATTTTTTAAAAATACATTTGCAAAACAAACTGAAATATGACATTTTCATAAGTATTCAGACCCTTTACTCAGTACTTTGTTGAAGCACCTTTGGCAGCGATTACAGCATCGAGTCTTGGGTATGACGCTACAAGCTTGGCACTCCTGTGTTGTCTTGGCTGTGTGCTTAGGGTCGTTGTCCTGTTGGAAGATGAACCTTCGCCCCAGTCTGAGGTCCTGAGCGCTCTGGAGCAGGTTTTTATCAAGGATCTCTCTGTACTTTGCTCCGTTCATCTTTGCCTCGATCCTGACTAGTCTCCCAGTCCCTGCTGCTAAAAAACATCCCCACAGCATGATGCTGCCACCACAATGCTTCACCGTAGGGATGGTGCCAGGTTTCCTCCAGACGTGACACTTGGTATACAGGCCAAAGAGTTCAATCTTGGTTTCATCAGACCAGAGAATCTTGTGTAAGGGCATAACGTGCAGTTTCTACGTAGCAGTGATTCCCCCGAGAGCAGAGCGAGGCCTGCATCCAGCAACGTCACAAGTCACGTGACCCGTTTTTGCCGCTGTTTTAGTATAGCACTACAGGGAGAGAGCAGGGGAAAGGGCAAACTCCACTGAACTAGTTTGAATGTATGGAATCACTTGGGAGTTTCTGGATTTTGGGTAAACTATTATCTAATAATGGGTAAAGTCCGAATTTTTTTCAATTTTCACATGTTGTAGCTTAGACCCTCCTGTTACATTGTCTTTGGTCTTTGTGTTGTGCACATAATCGGTTGAGACACATCATTCTCTTGAATACAGGGTGGGTGTCATTTCAATCATAAACAGGATTCATAGAATGGACCTATCCCTTCAGACCACTGCAATTTAGCTGGGTCAAGTTACTACCCGAAAGATGTCCGCCAATCCACCCATAGTCGAATGTCAACGTCTATTATATTATATTTCTATGATTTCAATATGTTTCCTATGGAGGATTCCCAGTCAAGTCAACATTCTCTGTGGGGACCTTGAACCATCTTTGTGGTTTAAATGTATATTTTATTGACATTTTAGTTCTTTTATCAGCAAAACAAGACACCCACCCTGTATTCAAGAGCATTCTGGGTCTCAACCGATGGGCACATCACAAACAACTGTGATGGAAATAGTGTCTAAGAAACAACATATATGAACATGAAAAAAATCTAGAGTTTACGTGTTTTTAGATGACTGATGTTAAAGGTAAAAAAATGCATTCTTTTTATTAACATTTTTCAAGATATGATTAGTTTGACAACCCTTTTTTATAAGCTTTCAAATGATATCAAATTCAACCATTTATGTTTTTCAGTGATAACATGAATGTCTCATGGAGGGG